GCACCTTGCAAGAAAAGTTCATTAATCCACAGACAAGAACAATGTAATGAATATGGAAAGAATCGAATTTCTTCAATTGTAACTTGAGATATGGTCAATCATAGAAGACAGCTTTTGCTAATAGTGTAATTTTCGGCAGTTAAAAAAGAAATCTCACTGGAAAATGCATAAACAATAACAATATATGTAACTATTGCATCCAAAATGATGAACATGAAATGTTCTCATAAACTTTTGAACATTCTCAATCTTATATTGTGCATTGCCTGAGTTTTTCCATCGATTGTTCCCGAAGTTCTCCTATTTTTATTGCTTGCATTGACTACAGTGCTGTACAAATTGTTAATCAATTTACATTGTCAAAGGAATTTTCTTCGATCTTTCAAGGTTCGAATAAGGTTTGTTAGCAAACTCTTCGTATAAATTGACAAATCGATTATTTTATATAATCTGTGTCTGAAGAACGAATACCCAATACTAATTTTGTTTTACTAAAGTTATTCTGTTATGCTAATACTAGTACCGCTGGTAAACGAATATATATTTATACAAATATAGAAACTAAAATATGTTAGATATACAAAAAGTGAGAGTGTGTCTGGAATTCATTTCCGATCGGGTTGCCATTTAAGTTGATGGATGCGAACTCAATCGATGATCGTGTCCTGTGGTCATAATATTGTACTATCTAATGAATGTCAGTTCTGATAGAAAACTGTGACACATGTACGAATTTGTAATGTCGTTTTTAAAATAGAATATGTGCGGAGAAGTTGAGTACTTCAGGAATGCAAATAGCTAGCGGTCTGTGACTTCCACTACTCGAAGGTAGACACTTGGCGACAATCTATACGAAATTCAAAAATTTTATAGGTAATCCTAAGGAATTTCTGTTAGGATATTCGGAAAACTGCCGTCACGATCAAGAAGCTTTATTATATCTCCAGTCTAACTCTTTCAATATGAGAATTGTAAGTGAAAAAGTTCGTACTTGAGTGATCTCGAATTTTCAAGTAAAGGTTGTAAGATATGTCCTTAAAGCTGTCACTCAAGAGAGAAGAATTGATCGTTACACTTAAAGGTCAATAAGTGTTCTTAGAACATATAAAAAATAAAGGTTTTTCTTTCATAAGCAGGATTGGGTTCCTGACATCTTGTAGACTCGAGCTGACTCAATTCTGAACTTGATGAATTATAATCGTCACATTGAAGGACAGGAGGATTCGAAGATCATCTCCTGTGGTAACTTTTTCTTGTTGGCTTTAAATTTCTGTATAACAAAGCAAACTTTGCTATAGGGTATACCTTGGAATAAAAGATAAATAAAGTTGGAGTGAAAATGTAATAAAGCTTCCCAATTGGAAAATGGTTCACCGCATATCTCCATAGAAATCCCTTAAGATTATCTCGTAAATTTTTGACTTTGATATAGATTGGCGTCACTCATTGCCCACATTTCGAATGATGAAAATCATAGATCTCTAGCTGTTTATGTTCTGAAACTACTCAACCTCTTCAGACACACATTCTATCTTGAAAAGGATGTTAATTGCATTTGAAATACAAGTGCCTATTCTTCTTTCTGGATTAAGATTTGAGAAAAAAAACATAAACCGATGAATTATTAAACCCTTGATATTCATTAAATAAGGCTGTGCAGTTTATCTTCATCGCCAGTTTGCTTTTCTATTTTTTTAAAAAAAACATGAACATGCAAAAATCCACATTTGAGGCTAAAACTCGATGGAAAGTCATAAATTGTGGTGTCCTCTATGGTATATCAACTATAATTTGAAAATATTAAGGATATGTCTTTTAGAAGCTCAAGTATTGAACAGATCATATATATACGAAAGGTTTTAAAACTTATTATTCATCCTACCTTATAGCTCTCCTTTCCTTTCCAAAAGGAAAGTGAAAATGTCATCCCTAACTGGTACTGATGAAAATCAATGAAGTTAGTAACACTTGTAAATATGAGCCAGAATCAAGTGTTCGATCTATGTAACTCTTCTTCATACAACTATTGAACAAATTGTATCTTGTATAGCTTTGATAAGAGATGTTCTGTCATAACCTGATATGTTGTTGTTTATGGTAATAAGCAAGTTTGTGCAATAGATCGAATACTCGATCTTGGCTCATACTTTTTTACAAGTATCCTTAACTTCATTGACTTTTTTTCTGTAATTAATGTAGTTCGTCCAGAATGTGATCGATTTTCGACAGTACCAGTTTCATAAAATCATCGAAATATGATTCAATTAATATGATTTTTTACTATCTGACTTGTAACTTTTGTTTTACAAATGGTAACTGACTCGAAAGTGGCTATCAGTAAAACTATTTTAATCTGATCAAACTGTAAAAAGTATATTTAAATCTCTTGAATTGCCGAGGAGCTATTCGCATTTTTTTCCTTCGGCCTTTTGAAACAGACAGATTTGAATTAGGCAATGATGTATTGAGTCATCTTCCTACAAGGATTTTCATACATAAAAAATTCGATCAAAATATTCTACTTATTTTTTTCTTAGTGAAGAAGTCGTTCAGTTATGTTTTATTGTTTAAAAAAAATCAACTCAATAATGCAGCGTCAAAAATGAAACAAAGCAATTACAAGAAATCAAAATGCAATAGTATCACTGAATATACAATAAATGGTAGTGTAAAAAAATATAAAATACAACATTAATTGAAACCAATAAAATACATCAAATATACATGAAGCAAAAAATTAATGAAATGAAGCGAGTTCAAAAAAAAAGGAATTATGTCGTCAATTAAATCGAATATTCATTCAGTCATGCTATGACGAAAAATCCTCGTCTTTTGACGACGTGTATCGCCATCTTCAACATGACCATCGTCATTATCATCATCATCATCATCATCGTCATCATCATCGTCATTGTCATCATCGGTATCGAGTGTATCTTGAATCATCTGTAAAACACGTCGATTATATTCAACTCGATTATCACGATAAAGTAAAGCAGCTTCTATATTAGCCGGACTAAGTGCATTTGGATCAATTAGAAGTAGACGAATTGAATGAAGTATTGCTAAAACATCATAAGATGGTAACCAACCATCTTTAAGTATATCAACACAAATAAATCCATCTTCCCACCAAACATTTGGATGAAAGATTTTTGTAATAAATCGAACTTGCGGTGGTCGATTTGGATAATCTTCTGGAAAATTTAATTGAAGTTGAAATGTACCAGATTCATAAATACTTTCTTCTGGACCACAAATAATAGCATTCCAGAGAAAAAGATTGTCTAATGATGGACTTGCATCCATTCCATCTACTTTATTTTTGATTAATTGTCGAAAATCTTGTTGTAATCGTCGAACAGCCATTGATGACGATGACAATGATGATGTAAAATGGTAAAAAGAGAAGGGGAAAGAAAACAAAAATGATAGATCTACAAAAAAAAATCAGTTTTCATATTTTATTTTATTCTTTTTTTTTTTTTTGTTTTTGCTATACAAAATAAACAAAATTTTATCAAATGAGATTTGTATTTAAAGTTATTTTACTCTTACGAGCTTCATAATATAATGGATTATATTCTTCATCTTCAATATTCATCTAAAGCATAAAATTAAATTAAAAAAAATAACAAATAAATTGAAAATTGAATACATACATTTGATAAACTTTTAAATAAGTTTTCATCATTTTGTTTTTGTTCATGTTTGATTATTTGACGTGTTAAGTTTGGTAATGGTAAAAGAAGTTCACTAGAAGCAATTGAACGTAATATTAAACTACGTTCTGAAGCAACTGAAAGAACAAAATGTCCAGAAAATGATGAATTCATTATTAATAATGACGATGAGCAATCATTCAAACGGCAAATTAACATTAATTCCTAAGTGAATAAATAAATAAAAATAAATACAATTATAATGACTTACATTTTGACGTAAATACTCTGTTAAAGTGTCAAAAGCAATTTCATTGTTTTCAATTGATTCAATATCATATTTATGACATGATGATGATATTACAAGGAGTGGCTTTAGAAAGAAAAAAAACAATAAAGAATAAATTCAGTTTCTTTTTCTGCAAAATTATATTACCATGCCAAATATCATTGATATACAATAATTTGTTTGTTTAATAAAATTCAATGCTTTTAATTGATAAATTGCCAATGATAATGATGAAGAAGAATTTTCAGTTAAAGTTGATATTCTTGATGGTTCAGTGTAAATAAACTATAAATATATTTATAATAATAAATATAAATAATATGAAACTTACAAATCTATCATGATTAACTTGATGATGAGGATCAATTAATATTTCTTGTAAATCACATCGAATCATATGCCACGAATGATCAATGTACTCAGCTAAAAAAATAAACATGACGTATTTTATTCGACAAGAAAATATTAATCATATTCACGTCTATTCATTCATAATTTATATTATTTTTTTTAATGTATAAAGAAAAGTCCATTCTTACTACACAACAGAGTAGAGCCCGTCGAGTTCAAAATTTTCAGACCCGAACCTGGCCAGATGCGAGACTAACCTGATGGACTCTACTGAAGAGTTATTCAATGGTAGTTTGTTTTCTTTTTTTTTTACTTAAAGATAAAGAACGAAATACTAATTATACTTTTACTTCGTTAATTAAGTGAACAGCGTCATAATGTAGTTAAGTAAGTATTTTATAATAAGTTTCTTTTAACGATCACGCAATTTACCTTTCAGATTTTTTTTTTCATCCTCTCTAGACATATATACTAACGACAAGAACTTTCAATCCAACTCTAATATCAATATCATCATGAAATATGATGTATTGTATTGAAATTTAGACGAGTAAGTTTACAAGAAAAAATTTTTCAAATATCTTTTCTTTCTCTTCGAATAATAACAATGGTTTTTATCTTATCGTCTAGTTTTCATTAGTACGATTCCAATTATTTTTATTGTACAAAGTAATGTTAGTTATAGGATATATGTTTGGGTAACTGACCACGGTTATTGTAATCTATTTGAAAAAAAACGAAATATAGATATCAGGTTCTATACAAAAAAAAAATGACGATATTTAATAACAAGTAATGTAACGCAAACGTCGTCAAGCCTATACTTTAAGGAGAATATTATGATAGAAATAAAACAAAATAATCAGTCGCGATATTTCGAATTCCATCGATCTATCTATATTTTCACAATACTAAAATTCCTAAATATAATTAATCCTAATATATAAATAGTAGCAGAAACAATGACACATTATGTTGTGCACCTTTCAACGTTCATCTATGTCTCAAAAACTATACATGAAAATTTTGAAAACGATTTTTGAAATGGTTTTGGATTATTAATCTCATCGTTCTGGACAGTTTTGCTGTAAGAAAAATCTCAAAATTTTTTCTAAGCTGCTGAAACTTGACTTCAAGTATATTCAGCATAAACTATTGAGATTATTTCACTTCAATTTTGTTCTATAGGTATGCTTTCTTTCGTTCTGTGTAACAAAACACATGAACATTTGGTTGTTGCACATAACTGCTCGACGCATTACTCTCTTGTCGATAGAAGGTATAATCTTTGTTATCTTACTCAATTAAAAATATTATTTTTCTATTTCTAATTTTTAATATCAGATAAAAAGAAAAATGAGCGGATGAAAATATTTGTACATAAAAAAAATCTCCTTAGAGTTTCTATAATTTAATCTCATTTGTATGAAATAATCTACTTTTTTCAATTGGAGGTAAATACAATTGAAGATGTTCATTTTCATGATCGTTATTTAATAACCATGATTTAAAATAAAGATCAATTGAATATTTATCTGTAAATATAAGAATAATTTCTATAAAAAAAAAATAAAAATATTTGTTTAACTTACTTTCCAACACATATTTGATATTGAACAAATCTATTGACGATATGTTCTGTTTGAATGATTCGATATTATTATCGTTATTAACACATACTAATTCGATTTTCTAAATAAATCACATTAAAAAAATACCGATATTTTTATACCCTTTGTTTTTGTGCGTAATTGTGTGAATCAGATAAAGAACAGAAAAAAAACCGGTATTAAGCAAACAACGTCATTTGTTTTTTAGTATATTTGAATAACAAAAAAAGAAAAATGACTAATTAAGAATGTTTGGTATGTACTACAATAATTTGTAGGCAGTTATAATTTTTTTCTATCTATTGAGACATATCAAGATAAAATATAGTAGAGAAGCAATTATTTGAGGATAAAAGTAAACAGATAGTCATATGATCATATTTATAAAATACGTACTTTTTTATTGAAGTAGTTGTTTTGAATAAATCGATGAATCTCCAAAAGAATTGAATCTGATAATTGATTCGTCAAAATAACAATTTGAAAATCATGATTAATAAAATTCGATGTGGTCTGTAGAATATAAATATGTTTTTTATAATATCGAATTTATGACTTTTCTTTTTTTATATAAGAATTCATCTACGTAAAATCATTTAGTCATAAGACCAAAATAGAATGAGCCAAGCAGCGAAACATTACGTCCATTAGAATACAATAGGGTTGAAGTCAATTCAATCGGTGCTTTTTATCTGATACCTAGGCATTCATGGGCGTTTTTATTTATTTCCAACTACACTTGGTTACCTTTCCCTGAGGGCAAAACCACGCACAAAGACCGACAAAGAGATAGATAATACAGGCAATAATCAAAATAAAGCCATGGTTGATGTGGCTTTTTTACTATACGTAACTGTACAGGTAATGAGAAATGATTAGACTTTGGACTAATTCAACTTAAATGCGTGGTTTTTGATGAAACAAAACCCGCAATAATCATAAGACCTTTCAAAAATCAAAATTGCTTTATTTGATAGGCAAAACTAATCTATAATATAATATCAAACAAAATTTAACTACTATTTAATTGTAACATTATTTCTTCTCAATTCACAATTTCTATATAAACAATGCACGATTTCTGATGCAAGAAAAGCATGTCCATTGTAATGAATTAAATAAAGAGCCAACATTTCATACTATATGAGATAATCTCATGTAAAATTTTTTAATAATCAGATGATACAAGTCACGTATATACGCCTGCCTCATTATCAATTTTTCTCAACTGTGCTAAGCAAGAGTTAACTTCAACTTA